AAATGAACATAGATGTATATATCAATAACATCGAATGCGCACTGATGTACATAATCGAATGTACACTGATGTACATACTAATAACATTGAATGGCATTAAATGAACATTGAATTGCATTAAATGAACATTGATGTCTACGGAACACGTTTACAAGCATTAGACCAAATTATAATATAAAAGTAAGTTTGTATAAAACAGAGTAAAAGGCAAATACAAGCTATACAAGAGAACACATTATAAAAAATATCTAAACTGTAGGGGCGAATTCTGCAGTAATCTGGACATTAAACAAGTTAAATGCGCCCTGTTGCCGAGCAGTATAAATCACTCTGCGGCAGACTTCGTGGGCGTTTGTTTGCTTTTGTTATAAATTATTAATTATAATTATTAAGTTTGAATCTACCTATTTGATTGGCTGTCATGAACCTGAATTGGTTCAAATATCTAACTGAATCGAAATCACACGACTGTGAGAACTGTTCATAGTGATTGTGGATGTATAATCAACTTATCAAAGGTAACCTGGTACAAGCACTACAAAATATTATTATACATCTGTCATCGTAATGCCATAAGTTACAGCGTGCCGTAATTTTGCGGTCTTTTACGGGGTATTTTCATCCTACCATATAAGGAAATGCGAATTCCAAAATAATAATAATAATAAATCGTAATGCCATAAGTTACAGCGTGCCGTAATTTTGCGGTCTTTTACGGGGTATTTTCATCCTACCATATAAGGAAATGCGAATTCCAAAATAATAATAATAATAAATCGTAATGCCATAAGTTACAGCGTGCCGTAATTTTGCGGTCTTTTACGGGGTATTTTCATCCTACCATATAAGGAAATGCGAATTCCAAAATAAGAATAATAATAAAGAACATGCGGTTCATTTTATCACGTGACGTCATCAACGCGTCCGTCATTGCTACTCGCCGTGTCGTCTATTTCGTAACTAAATAAAGAGTCTAGGTTTGATTATTGGCGCAACGATTCACCTATATAATTAAGGCTATCTCTGCATCCTGTTCATCACAGAAATGGACCGATTATCGACTAGAATGGAATCCAGCTAATTACAGTGGAGTCGATACCTTGATAGTTAGCTTTCAGAAGTTATGGTACCCGGATATGGTGCTCTATAGCAGGTAAGTGTAGTAGCGTGATTCTTAATTGTGATTATTCACAGAACCTGTAAGCTTAATATAGTTTGAGAAATAAAATATAATACACATGCATGTGTGTTATGTTTATTGTTTGACTGAAATCAAAACCCCATATTCCAATATAAAACTTGTTCAATTTCCTGAACCTCCATCCATAAAATTGTTGGCAGTCAATCTAATATAATCTATCACAAATAAACAAGACAAACTCACCATATGAATTTGACGGATTGTTGGATGGATCACAATTATTAAATGGTATTATTAACACATTTCCATCCATGCGATACGCCCAGTTATTTAGCAATTAATTAATAATCCTTTTATCTGTGTGCGTTACTCGAAGATTATCGGAAATGCACAAAGATTGTATCCGTAGTTTATCAGTTCGTTTGGCACCTTAACACTATCAGACGCACACCACAGTGTCACAGTGACCTAATATACACGTGTTGTGCTGAATCTCAATTAATCTATCCCTTACGTACTGTATTACGCTAGCCTCTGCCCTCACGTGTTCTATTAATTACCCAATAAATGTCATATTATGCATTATTGACGCCTAGTTTTACAGCTTAAACACACGGCAACTGTGTTCAGACACTGCTATCTTCGTGTGTTTGTTCGTTAAATCAGAGTGATATTTATTTGAAAGACTACTGAATCGGCGGAAATATGCAATTGCGATCTTGAATTGTTATGGCGAGGTTCGAGGTTCAATTATTGACAGCGGAATCTTCCTTTCATAATAACATATACACAATGGGTTCTTTATTTCATGCAATTCACGTACATACATTGTCAAGGAAAATCGCGAACATTGGAAGAGATGCGCGGTTGGGTATCTGCAATTTATGACAATTTAAGCTTTATTTTCGCGTGCTGTAGACAATGTTGTATTTACTCACAGTCGCATAAAATTGATCCATATTTTGTGGCAATAGGAAATATTGATTTAAATATTGTATAACAAATATGAAAAGTAACACACTGGTATTAATCGCCGCCAAGGGGTTTGTAGTTACGGTAATTTTCCTTTGTCTGCAAGAACACACGAGGTTCTAACACTTACACATTATACTATACCACGTGCTATGTATTACCCCCTTACTGTGCAAAATTGTGGAAATTTTCACATGTTAGTGGAGATGTAGATGTCATAAACAAATACCCCGTCGTCATGTTGAATGGTTGGGTCACGTGTCTCTGTGGTTGGCGTCTACTCTATATACACATACACACATCATTAATTTATCCCATGTGTCGTAACGTTCGACCTGACACAACTTTGATGTGGTCGTATCCTATGCCGTGACGTTCGACCT